TTTTTTATTTCAAAATACATTTATATATTTTATATTTACAATGTACTACTGTATCTCACACATATGCTACTGTACCTTCTCATACCAAACTTCAGTAAATCAGCAGAGTGATCACAAATCACAGTCGCTTGCTCGTGGTCATTGCACCATTGTGTGCAATGTGCACACCGCTCCACTGTTTCATGGTTTCATGAGTACCTCAGTTGATCTTTTCTGTGTCTGGACAACCCTAAGACTTTTAGAGCATTCATCAGCTTTTGGATGTCATGACTCCTCTTTCCTCTTCTCCAGTCACGGCCAACTGAAGACTGAGGTTTTCCAGGAAAGAACAACACTTGTGATCTTGATCTTCTGGCTTCCCGAGTTGGAAATTTGGCTGGGAAAACTACTTGTGTGTTTATAGCAGCAAGGTTGAGACAGCTGAGGTAACCATATGAGGCTAACTCATCAGTCCTCACTTTAATTGGGTCCACAACTTGGACATTATTCTCATGCTCCAGTTCCAAGATAAAATAAACAACTTTTTCATCACTGTTTCTGTACTTTTTCATAGTAACAGTGAGACAGCAGTGCCATCATAAGGCCAAACAGGAAAACATTACCCACTGACACTTGCATCCAGCCCACAGATCAGAAATTTAACTCTTGCTTAACTCTGATTTCTGGCAATTGAGGAGACTTGAGAAAAACACAAAGAACAAGTTATGCATTTAAGGGTTGAATGGAGTCATAGTTTATTTCTGTCTGCTTTCACTTATCAACACGTGTTAAGACAAAGTACTTAACATGGCAAAAACAGCAATTGTAATGATGTGTCAGTGCTCCTGAGTTGGAGTAAGGAAAAGTTTTCTTGTTATTTCCAATTCTTCACATACGCAGCATTAACATCAGCTTATCACTGTGACCGTGTTAGCATGCTGATGTTAGCATTTTGCTCACAGAGCTGCCACTATGGCCATAGACTTTTAGTCTTGTTGTTACCAGTTTAGTGATGCTAAATGAAGGAAATATCTCAATTTCCCTTTTTTTCAAAGTAGATTTGCAAAAACAATCCCTCTGCCCAGGGCTGCATGATAATATTGGCATGTTGTCACTGACTGGCATCTTAGGTCGATATCAGCTTTAAAATGAAATATCTGAATCGGCCAACATGCTTTTTCTTATTTTACACAATGAATGAATATTATATAAATTTAAATTTTTTAAGTATTGTATTTCATGTCTCTATCTGCTGGTGGGCCATCACGATAAGAGTATGCATGCATAATATGATGTTAATTCCACTACAGAAGAGACTTGATCACTAAGATTAGGTAGGGAAAAAAATATCAGTATTGGTATATCGGTCAAATGAGTCGTTACATACAGTATCAGATATCAGCACAAAATCCGACATGGTGCATCCCTACTTCTGCCCAATATATATAGCCAAGAGGAAGAATATGCTAAAAATGCATGGTTATGCCTGTCATTTAAATGGTAGGCTTATATCACTAAGCTGAAACTAGTAATTTCAAACATTTCCTCATCACTGAGCGACAGTATTTAATGTTCTCTGTCAAATTTCTTGCTACACTGCTTCACTACAAATACAACCCAGAAGGAGCAGTTTATAAAATAGTGACAAAATGTTTTGGTTTTTTTCCATGGTGTTGCAACCACAAAATGAGATACTGTCCAATTTATACAGACCATGATGTGGGTCTATCTCATCCAACCAAGAGGCAAAGTCACGTTAAGTTTTCATTTGAACTATTCCATTTAGCTTTATTTAACATTACAGGCAACATCTTCCAAGTAATTTCACTCAGACTCACTCAGATGAGAAATTCATACTTACTGGCTCTCTGTAATTCTCAAGCCAAATTAATTTGTGCAAGACTGTTTACAGTTTTATGATGGGTGTGAGAATAATCACACATACACACACATACCACTAAATGTTATTGCCGCAATGAAGTGCCTCTTTAACTAATTTCTGATTAATGAATTCTGCGTTCCATGAAAAACAAGAGCGCATCGTGTGTTTGTGGAGTGAAGAATATCTTCTGCACTAATGTGCGTGTTTCTGTTTTATAGATGATACAGTGTAAAAAGGTATACAGAGGCCCTTCCTTTGACAAAGCAAGCTATTTCTCAGGAAATGCACTGTCTCCCTCATTTATTTATGAGTGAGCTCTGGGGTGTTCAGGAGGGTAGGCATCACAGGCATCAGTCTTCAGCCCTCTGTCTTAGACTGCATGTGGCGCTCATCGATTTTAGCCCCTCGCTGCAGAAGTGCACCATCAATCAATACAGTAACAAGTCTTCATTTATACTTGAGAAATGCAGTTTCCAACTCAGTGGGCACAAAGTCCTGGTGTTGTCAGTGTGGGCGAGAAAAAGGCTCTGGTCTGTGTTTGGCCTTGGGCCTCATCTGCCCAACATGACTGTACATCACCAGCATGACACAACAACACATACGACATCAATGCAAGCACATGAACAGAAACATTTCAAATGTGTGGCGTTCACGTGGAGTATTTTCTGCAACCTAGGGTCCCAACTCTGAAACAGTTTGATATCTATATTGTGTTTTTTCTCTTAGACCCACAATAACAACTTTATAGTGCGTGAGAGCAAACCCTTGCTAAGGAAGCAGTGATTTATATGAGGCTGTGTTCTCACAAGGCCGCACATTTAATGTAAAGCAACAGCCCAAGGTGTTTTCAATTCATCTCTGCCAGGACTTTCTATTTTGCAGGCTTCTACAAACATGACTTTGCAGAGAAAAACTATTTGCTGACAGTAATAACATTTGCCACATTCAAGGAAGTTACCTTTAATCCAGATATAATAGTTCATAGAGTCTTTCTATGAGCTGATTGTTTGCCATTTGGCCAACTAGATATTTTGTAAATTAGGTTCTCACTCAGTCAATGTCAGTGTAACTCATACAATTTATCACCTATTGCTATAGGCCTAATATTCAGTTAGTATTCTGTCGGGATGTGTGGCATCTCTGTGGGGCAGATGAGTGACAGTGGTTACTTTATTTATCTAGTGTTGTCAGATTAAATTCATACAAGGTCTTACACTGTATCAGTGGTTTAGAGTGAGTTAATAATGCCCCTTTACTGACTATATTGTCATAATATATCAATACAGTATACTGCACATACATTGTGTACGTGATGGCCCTATAAAAAAAACAGTTGACCACATTGTGCCTTATAATGCTCAACTTTTACCAAAAATAATTTTTAATCATCTTGAATGAACCCTTGGTGGCCGCCTATGTCACCTAGATTTGCCACTGTGTAACAGGCTACCTTTTTTTAATCAGTTCTTGGTTAACTCCCTGTCTTCATCTATAAAATACTTTCTCTTGCCACAAGCAAGTAGACTGGGGCAACAGGATGAATAATCTTTACAGAGCCTGTCTTGAACTTTACAAAACTGCATATTTACACTACAAACCTTGGAATAATTTATAGAAGAAACTGCCCTCGTACAGGAATACAAACACCTCTTTTTTTAGATAAAGGTTTATAAAGAAAACAAGTGTTTAAATATTCAAGCCCTTTGTCTGTCAGGTCCCATGTTGATGTGCCGCAGTATATGTGAACGCTGAAAATTTTTTATGTGGCTGTATGTGTACTTTACACTGCCATTTTGGTCATGTCCCTGTTGTTAAAGAGATAATGTAGCTCAGGAGGCAGCCTGGTTAGGTGTAGCTTAAATTAAGTGTTTTGACTGTTAATCCTGTGAATTATAATGAAGCCGATTTGTATACTTGAGTTTGAAATAGTCTCTATTAAGCCATGTTTAATGTGTGTTTGATGTGTGTTTTGGGTGTGTTTTGAATCAACTAAACTTAACAGCACTCCACATAAACCCCACTGCTGACTAGTATTTTGGAAGAGTAACTTAGAGCGACAGAGACACTCCACGACACAAGTATAAATGCTCACAATGACGTAGGGCACAGGCTACAGTGTAGGCTATGGCATAGGCTCTGCATAGGGCTGAGCACAAGTATAAATGCACCTTTAGGGGCTGTTTGTTACTTACGAGAGGGAAGGGGGTGGTGTAAAACAGGGATGGCACTTTAAATATTTTTTTCAGGGGATTGATTTGACTAAAGGGAGGGACATTCAACTTTAAATGGTCGGATTGTGTATTTATTTTAAATATTTCTAGAATCCCAAAACCCTCTGGTGCATTTAAAAGGCATGTTTTCTTTAAAAATGTTCAAAATCCAATCATTCATCACAGCCAGACACTGATATATGGTTATTTATTATGGTGGAGGGAGGGTCATGCATTTTAACCCAGCAACTCAGGGAAACTCAAGGAAAAATATTTAGAGCTGTGGCAAGGGGTTAGATATATATATTTTTTTTAAAAAAACTTGCACTGCAGCTAGCCCCCTACTACTATTAGTACAGTCCTTAAGGGGTTTGCACTGTAAAGTGCCTTTATGGGAGGTTTAAGTGGGTTTTTATTTGTCAGTGCAAAATGTACCAGTATGAGTGGCCATTGGGGGCCCCTTTTCCTAATTATTTTGTGGGGGCCCTATGATCACCTGGGCTGCCCCTTCTTCACATAAACCTGTCCAATTGGATAAAACCTCCAAATGGATTGAATATTACACACATTGTTTTTGTTTCAGCATGAAATTAAATGCACCTTTAATGGGGGTGGAGACACAGCAGGGAGGGTGAAACCTCTGATCAGAGTATCTCATGGGATCTGTGTAGTGACTGAAGAAGCAGTGAATTAAATTGCTAATGAAATTGCTACACCCTGCTATTTCACTCTATTTCCACCTAGTAGCTCCACATTTATTTTCATCCTCCACTGCAACTACTGTATCATTCTCATTCCTGCAGTACATCCCAGGATGACAGCTCTCCCTCCCCCTCCCCCCCCCCCCCCGCCTTGCCGGGACGCCTGCTTGGTATGGTCCGCTCCTCCCCTCTCCTACGTCTCACCGATGGTAGTTTCTATTGGGAGAAGGTCAAATGACTCCGCATGTCTGCCTGTGTGTACATTCCCGTGATGCACGCCTGATGAAGACTCACTTCCAACACTAATATCGTGTGTCCGAATATGTTTGCGACCATCTGAAGCTGCTCCCTCGCGTCATGTCCCTGTGAAAGTGCCGGTAAGTCCTGGTGTGCTGCGACGGGGTTTGTTGTTTCCGAAACGCTTCACCCGGCTTATATGTTGATGTGGCCGGATAAGTCGTTTCCTTATTAAGGTTTAATGTTTGCAAAGTGTTGTGTTTCCGTGCAGCTGGTGCAGCTCAGGAGCCCGGATGGGTTAAAAATAGTTCCTCCAGGATGCTGCTTCTTGTGATGCTCTCAAACAGTACAGGTGAAATCCAGGTGAAGGGGTCGCTGTAATTGTCCCTAAACGCGTCATTGGGTGCTATTTATGTCGTTTAATTGTAGTTAAACTATGAAGAGGTATCTTACATCCATTTCTCTTCAATATTATCAGCCATAATCTGTCCTTTATTATGCTGTAGGAGCTTAATGGGCAAATATACTAGCAAAAGTAGGTAGGGACTCCCTTCAGGAATATTGCAGGAACATTTAAAGGTACTAGAGAAGAATAAGGATACCATTAAGTTCCATAAGGTCAGTGTAGACTGTTTACAGAATATTATGGAGATAAAAGAAAGGCATGAAAGTACAACAGACATATCAGATATTGAAATAATCCCGCATGTCTGCATGAAATGTTTTCCTTTTATAGTGAGGTGATAATGTTTACCTGCTTTACTCTACTGTAAATGCCATCTGAGGTCAGTGTTAATGTGGGGGAGTGGAAAGTTCACTCCTCAGCAAGTAGAAAGCTCTGAGGGAAGGCAGACTTAATGAAGTGAGTCATCAGAGTCAGCCCAAAACTCCCCCCTGCAGAGTAGCATGTAGCTAAGCCTATTACAGCATTGCATAATGCAATAAGGTATAGCCCCATAAGGTGCAGAATGAGCCGCCTCGGGGGCCCGTATATTGTACGGGCTCCTTAATCTCTTATTATACATCCTCATAAAACATATCAGTCCAGAGCGGGGTCAGCATGTTCAGGTAAGGAGTTGAGGAGTGGAAGTTGTATTACTGTCCAGAGACGCTGAGCTTTGCTGACGCACTCTGTAGTTTGTTCAAGGTCGGTGAGATGTTCAAGGTCGACTCACAGCAAAGTGAGGTGAAGGAGTTGACAAGTGTTGCTTGCTGATGAAAATGTGTCATGATATGACTCGTGTTGTGATGACCATGGCTTGTATTGCTTTGCTTGATTCATATTAGCTAGAAAACAGAGACTTTTTTATGATCACCAAGGCTTCTGTTCATTTTAAGGCTGCCATGAATCCGTATAAAAATAGTCTCTTAAAAATGAGCTCCTCCAACTACAGCTGCAACTAACAATTGTTTTCACTTCCAGTTAATCCAGCCAGTCAGTTTTCCCGCTGCCTACGGTAACATATATGACATATATTTGTCCAACTAGTAGTCCAAAACCCAAAGATATTTAATTTATAATATGATGTAAAGATAAGCAGCAGATCTTTACCTTTGAGAAGCCGAAACTAACAGGTCGCCACAAAATACAGTCTCTGTCTGTCCAAGCAGTGCTCTAACATTGTTCAAAATTGCCACTGAATTTGAGAGAGAGAGATTAAAAGAAGTAACCACCATGACATTTCCACTGGCCTCCATGCAGCTACTGTTTACCGACCTTTTTTTTGGCCAGTCCCTGACTATGAACGTGTCACACCAGAAAAAAACAAAAACTATTGCCTATTGTAGCCAGTTTCCCCATATTTAAAAAAAAAAAAAAAAAAAAAAAAAAAATTGTATTATTTTAAATCGAAATGCTGACCAATTTCCTGAGCCATCCTCAAATGGCTCTAATCCCAAAAAATAAAGATCAACTTATTGGGAACCTGTCTTGTTAGAGAAAAGAAGAACCATCACCTATGCTACTACAAGAAAGGATAGCACTGACAGACAGACAGACACAGATACACACACACACACACACACACACACACCTTGAATGATGACTCTCATGATCATATTATGCATGGTCCTGCTGGCTTTGATTAATCCTTCACCCTGCCGTCGACAGTGAACAGTTGCTGTCACCAATTGATTACTGCATTGAGATTCATGTTGATGAAACTGAACTACATTCACTTAGTAGAAAATGATTTCATACACAGCATTTAAAAAAAGAAACAAATTCAATTAGTTCTAATAAAACATATTTCAAGTATGTCAACCTGTTCTTTCATGCTTTTGATGCTCTGTTCTGGCCCTGATAAACTGTAAAGGATGAGGCTTGATGTTTATCGAGGTGGCCTCGACAAAATTCACTAGCACTCGAATTCCTCTGTGAAAGGCTCTAAAGTCATGTGGTGTTTTATCAGCTGCAACTATCTCATCCATCTCTGCAACCTCATTAATGCGCACGCACGGCTCTCAGGTAGAGCCAAGAATCTCTGCAAATTCAGACTGAATTACTAACATCAGATCTGACTTTGTGCCAGGCAGAATGTTTCCTGAAAACACGCTTTGTGAAAAATTAGTTTGAGTGTTTAGCTGCTGCTGTTTTTATCCTGAGGTGTTTCCTATAGCAGTATCTAGTACAAACTGCTTTTACACTGAGCTGATGCAATTTGACCTTCCATAATATAAAAGTAAATTAGTGTCTCTGTATAACCCTGAGTGGCTCCATGCAGATATAAGTGGTTCCATGGAGATTCTGTTGTGTCTACGTACTGCAGTCTATGTAGACATGACTGATCCTGGAATAACGTCCCTCTGAGTCATTAATGGTTTCCATCTATTCTATAACAGCGCCATGCATCCAGTGAGGAAATGTTATTGTACATATTTATTTGTAATACATATGGCTCTCCAATGGTTCTTTGAGAACTCTTCAGTCAAACAGACCAGAGGGAGCCACCGTCACTGGTGGAGAAAGAGCCCTAAATCTGCCTTTGTAACCAGCTGGTGCTAATCCGTGTTCAGACCCCAGAACCCTAGACTCATACAAGTTGTTGCAGTGAAAAAGAATAAAGACGCATTTGAGGCTGGGTGATGCTGGGCAGTGCCACATGAGAATGTTAATCTTGGATAATAAATCTCTTAAAGAGGGTTTGTCTGCAACCAAAATCACCTTTCCTCTGATCACAGGCCAAGGTTTTGGCTCTGTTAGGCACTTTGTTCAGGTGGCGTAAGAACCTTGTAGTTGCTCAATCTCAGTCACTTTAAAAGGGAGTCTATGCAGTTCACATAACAAGTTTGTTCAATATTCTGCAATAGCTGATTAACATGAAAAAAAACCTGTAGCGGAACAAGTAATTGACAAATTGGGAGCATCATTCAGCTGAGTTCAAGGTGCCCTGTGGAGTTTCCTCCTAAACAAAAGGTAATGTTTATTTACTGTGTGTATCCTTGAACATTTCCTCCCTTATAAAACATTTGTAAGGACAGCTCTTTTTAGGTGTTAAATCCTGAATTGTTAACACTCATGTTTACTAGCTTGCAGTTAGTTATCCATCAGGGTCTTAGCCTCCGAGTTTATCAGTTCCTTTTATTGATGTTAGCATGTTTTTTGACAGTCATGCATTGCAAAACCATGACGTTAAACTCATATCTACGCTGCTGGAAACATGTAACAAGAGGGAGTCGAGGCAGAGAGGAGGAAAGCAGTCCAAAGGGTGGCTACATTTCATAAATAAACTTCTGTAAAGTGGTAATTTCAAGTAAGGGAGGAAACACCAGCAGTATGCTGAAACATCTTCTTATGCAACATGGGCTTAAATTGCAGGAATGCCTTGTATTTGACACTCTACGCACGAGTGCCACTGCTTCCCAACTGAGCAGCACGTCTGTTACAGAGTGTAAATATCCTGTGTTATAATAACATTAGCACCACACAGGCAGGCGGAGCAGATTTGTTCCTTGACTAAGAAAACCTAAAGGAAGACAAATATGTGCAAATATTCTCTGATTTCATCCATTTTAGAAACGTCCTACATTGTGACAGATTCAGAGATCATAAAATGGTTGCGTTGATGCTGAAAACCTGTGTAGGCTGACTATTTCCACACAGAAAATTGATCAAGAATCAATAAGAAAATTGTCCAAGGTCATCACGTCTTGTTTCGTCTGACTAACAGATCCTAACCAAAGATATTCAGATTTATAAATATCTTTCTCACATCGGAAATGTTGCAACCAGAGTATTTGGTGGAAAAAAATGACATGATTAACCAAATGGTTCTCAAAATAGTTGTCTCTGAATATCGATTAATTGAGTAATGACCGCAGTGCTACCTGAAAGGATCCCATTTCTTTAAAACTTACAGGTATTAATTTAGAATGTAGTGAAATAAACGTCCTCTGATCTTGGCAAGCAGCTGCATGTGCATTTCAATTCAGGCTTGGTGCCAGCAATTAAACTGCAAGATGAAAGAATTCATTCAGTTTTATTTTAGCTTTTGCAATTATTGGTTTCTCACAGACTGTACTTTTTGTGTTATTTAATTTTTGGAATTAAATAACACAAAAACGTGAACAACGTGCAGAACGTGAACAGAAAGAGGGAGAGCAGAGCAGAGGAGAGGAGAGCAGAGGAGGGGAGGGTCTTGAATCCATATAAAGCAATTAGATAATGACAGGGGCAGTGACACAGTGATTTGTTGCCTGCTGTTGTAATGTGATTCCAGTAGTACAGCTGAAAATGAATTTTAAGGCTTCCAAGAAATTCATTCTTCCATTATGTGGCTTTATGGGTCCATACCAGCTTCAGACATTGTTTACAAAGATGCGACACAGATTCCCAGACACAATAATGCTTTTATGCCACATCGATGTGTCATGTGTGACGTGCTTCGCTACAGATGACTTATGTTTACATGCAGGAGTGTTGTCACAGAAAAGGCTCCATAATTATTAAGGTCCGGGCAGCTAAGCTGCCAGGACACTATTGTAATCCTAGGTATTCTTCTTCTTTCTTCTTCCGAGGAAATCATACTTCCCATGGGTGAAAACTCACCAAACTTTGCACAAAGGTCCAGTCTCATGCCAGATATCCTCAGCTGTAAACTCAAGCCAATAGTCCTGATGGTGGCGCTACAGCAAGCGTCTA